AAACTAGTAGACATGCAGCCCTACAGGTAGCTGTTTGTACTAGTATTTACTAATTGTTGGATTATTCAAACTAGTAGACATGCAGCCCTACAGGTAGCTGTTTGTACTAGTATTTACTAATTGTTGGATTATTTAAACTAGTAGACAAGCAGCCCTACAGGTAGCTGTTTGTACTAGTATTTACTAATTGTTGGATTATTTAAACTAGTAGACAAGCAGCCCAACAGGCAGCTCTTTGTACTAGTATTTACTAATTGTTGGATTATTCAAACTAGTAGACAAGCAGCCCTACAGGCGGCTGTTTGTACTAGTATTTACTAATCATTGTATTCATACCTCTATTGAAGAAATTTTAGAAAAAATGATCATTTTCTAAATAAAAAGGATTTTTTTGGAAAACACTGCACAGGAAGTGTGTTAGGATTGTACTGATATATATACTGTAATGTTTTTATATATTAAAAGTGGTATTCTTTATTGATAAAATTAGTTTTTAACGGCTCCATTTTTTTAGTTCTATATTTACAAGTTACATCAATAAAGATATAATCAAACCCTCAAGTACAGTCCTAGTGAAAGTCATGTACTTATTGTGAGTAGAGTACTTTTATTTAAAAGTGTGTTCTATTATAAAGAAATGGTTGTTGCACAAACCACAGTTATTTTTATAATTGTTTGAATCTTGAATACCCAAAGTGTAAAACTTTGTGGATTTTAGTTTGTAGTGTCATTCAGTAGATGGCACCACGCTGTATATATTATTTCTGTCACATACATAGATAGATACATATATACACGCTATGTTTATTATAGTAAGATATTTCCTTTTCACGTTAAAAATTAAAACATGTACAATATTAGAATTTGAATTGTAATTTATGTTCTGATGCCAAGTTCACTGATATACATTCATCATAAATTAGTTTAATTAAATTCTGGACGTAACTACAAAAAAAGGTCACGACATCTGTAATTTAACCTATTCGTACTAGAGGGTTAAACCATTTATAGTTATATTAACAGTTACTGTTGCTGTAGACCCATATCTAGAAGGATTTGTAAGACTAATTTAACAGCTATTATTGTAGGCCTCACTTAATCATTAACTACTGATTTAATAGGTAATGGCTGATCTTAGTTTAATGGCTTACATTTCTAGTAACTCTGAAACAAGTTTACATTGATATAAACAAAGACTTGTATCTATTTAGAAAGGATTACAGACCACGATCACATTTTGTAAACACAGAACATATACTAATATGGCTATCTGGTTTTATAACTGTACTGGTATTTGACCTAGGATCAGTTGAGT